AGGTGAAATTCTGTTGTTTACAAGGCGGTGAATTATATATCGATGCATCTGATCTCGAGAAACTTTTTTGATGATAAAAAAAACGATAATTCCACCAAACAATGAATACCAAAAATAACATCAATGGAACAAAGATGAAGGCAATCAACACGTGAATAAATAATTTCAAATGTTAGTCTTTTCCAAGAGAAACTACTGTCTATTGTATTTCAATATCTATATAACAATGTTCCAACTGTTATTCACTAAACTATAGGCATTTTAGACATGAGTATCGGATCAAAATACATTACATTTTTATATTTTGAGATTCAAAGATAGGGTTAGAAAAGGATATTACACTGTAGTACCCTTTGCAGTGAAATGAAACTTTGGGGAATTGTTTGCTGTTTTTATTTCATGTGCAAATATTTATTTTTTGTATTACATGAGGTGCTTGAATGCCAAATTACGCCCCCAAGAAAAATTGCTGTCCCTGGTATTGTTTAAGATTGATGATCAGGATTGGTTTTGCTCTAGAAACGCCCTTACTGGGTTTTAAGCACCATTATAAATTAGGCCCGAATGGTTCACAACATTGAATAATTGATACGCAGCCTTACTATATTAAACATGCTCTTAGAGTGACTATTATTCATCTAATTTCACGAACAATGCCGTAAATAGCTAAATTAAGTGAAAAACTGCATTAACTTGGTTTCGCTCTTTCTATAATTGAAAGAGGATTTGTCCCCGATCAAGCTGGTTACATATAAGATGGATGGAACCGGAGATGCGGTGTTAATTTTACTGGCGTATTTTGCGTGCACTGCAGCAAAGTGAAGCAGCTTGGACTGAATGTTAATAATCAATTGGCCAGATACAGAAGGTCCTTTTAGCTGTTAAACACAACTTCGACCTCATTTGTATCTTTCTTTTTTATCTTGTGAGTTTATGGATAGAACCTTTCATTCTCCGAGTACTAGAGAAGTTACTATGGGCGCGTCGGAGGCATTTCCGCTTGAAAAATATGAAAACCTGGATAACTGACTAAATCCGTTCAAAATGATTTTTCGTACATGTGCACTGTGCCGGGTACAGTATATGCTTTGTTTTGAAATACACTGTACTTTAGCGTCCATTTGCCCTTCCCACACGAAGCCCTTTAATTATAGACACTGATGATGTTGTTGTGTAACGTAATTGATTAAGAGCGTCCGCGTCCACGCAACTTTGTCACCTTATTCTGATAATGTGTGTAGCAAGCGGTCGAGCCTTGCAATATTGACAAAGGTATTACGTAAAACGACACGAAGATAACACGCCGTAGATCACGTCATCGCGAGAAACGCTGAGCGTGTGCGTAATAGCTGACAGCGGGGCCCGGTGGCCTTTTTGACAAAGGTCCAGTTTTAACAAGATAAGGACCAGTGTTGGACACGCTCATTATCCGCGAACAAGAAAATGTCGTCAGTTGGATGAGTTTGACAAGCAAGTGTCTGTTTAATGACAAAGAAAAATGAGCGCATAAAGGATGTTCTATTTTGTTTACAGTGTCCTGGGCTTATAAAGAGCCAGATATAAGTAACGCTTTGACAAGACAATATTGCAAATAAATTGTGCTTCTTCCCTGTTCGAAATTGGACCACCTATTGGCAAGATCGGCCTCAGTTTAAATATTCTATTATTTCGTAATATTCAAGACAAAAGGCTGCAAAATTCGATCAGGAATTTAAAAATTAGTACATTTTTCAAAAATTAGACGAATACATGTAAATGAAGTGGAATAGCAAAATATTGCATGTCCGCATTTGGCTTAGGCCCTATATGTTAGTTGCAGTGGCATTTGTGTATTGGGTTAGTTGCAGTGGCAATGTGTATTAGGCCGCTAAATAACCTCTGGTAATGACAAAAAAAGACGAAGCAATGTGTAAGTAAGTGCGATAGACAAAGGTGTTTTTTCAAAGATAGCAATTCTATCACATAAAGTGATAAACCGTCAATTTTGGATCTATTGTAATTTCAGATATTATTTGATTGAAACACTTTTTCTCCATAAAGCACTTTTGATATATGCATTGTAATTCCGGGAATTGCTCGACTTAAAAGTATAACCTTTAGCATCTAAAGTTTCTTTAATTTAATCATTTAAATCCTTTATCGACTTGCCCCCGGAAAGAAAATCGTTTGGCGTTCCTCTAACCTTAGGTCTTAATGCTAACCGACGTCCATGTCTCACTGCCTTTATCTCAATAGATAATCTCAGCGACTCATTCATATCTTGGTAGTTTTTAGCTGGGGATTAGATATGAAATAGACACAGCATTTAGCGAATTATGCCTCAGAATTCCCCGGACGGCTTTTGATTTAATTACGTGCTTATGCCTATCCGTATTCTGCTTATATTCAATTTTCAAAATTGGGTCGTAATACGTTTGTATTGACTTCTATTCCTCGAGGACGACTGGCTTTTGTATGTCATGTTACTGCACAGTTGCCACTGTAGGCCGCGGTTAACGAACGTTGCTAACATACAGTATATCGCGGATTTCACGGATATGTGAATTAATCTACATACATAGTGCCTCGCTTGTTGGATCCTTGTTTTACATATACAAGGCGATTTTGCACTGTAAAAGATGTTTCAACTCTGACAGGAATTCGAAAAGTAAATAAATTAAATTTGAGAAAAATTATAAATAAATCGCCTCACTCTTAACAACATATTTTAGGATATTTGTGATATTTCCTGTTAATGCGTTTTCATCGAGAGAAATATTGATTAAGGCGAGTAAACAGATTTCTAAAGTCACAAAAAGTTTCTCAGTCATATAATGATATGCCCAACAACAAAAATAAATGTTAAAAACCCTCTTAAAAATGTAGAAATGGTATTTCGAACACGGGCCTTTTAAACCTACTCAGCGATAATAGTCATAGTTGATTATATTACAGGAGTAAGTTAATTAATTTAATGCAGGTAATTTTTGTCAAAACAATATTTTTTTGCAATGGAGGAATATTTACAGTTCATTGGCGAGTTAATACTCAAATTAATTAAAAATCAACGGTGACAATAGGACAGGAGGCACATCATGTTAAAAATATTATTAGTTGCTGCTATGAAGAAAGGGCACAATGCATTTTGCCTCCTCTTGTTCAGCCGCCAAGAGAATTGTAAAAAGTGGACAGTCTTAATGATATTTCTGTTTTTCAGCTATAAAAATTAACTGATATTTATTAGCCACTCCACTCCAATCCTAAGGGAAAGTGAAGGGGGGGGGGGAGCAGAGGCGGGGGGGGGGGGGGGGGGCTCACTAAACAGCACACCTGAGGGGTGATAGGCTGCAATACCTACCACAGCCCTCATTTCCCCGATGAAGACTGGCTGCCAGCAGACGAACTATTGACTGGTAAATATCAGTTCAGTTATTTTTTCTAAAGATATTGACAAATGAAACTTTATGGCCATTTCAAACACATAGCTTATGAAACTGTTCAACAATAACACCCCTGTTTTTTCAATTCGCCATTAGCTCTTACTTAAGGTGGTTGTAGTTGACGCGTTATAAAATGTTTTTTTTATCTTCTCAGACAAAATTGAGCGGAGAGTGAAATTGCTTTAAAGGATGGCGTGTACAAATTTCATATATGTTTGCTATGATGTTTATGTTTATTTTGGAAAGCTTGTTTTATGAAACAGTCACATTATGTTTTTTATGTCGTGACTTTGAATGTTGATCACGCCATCATGGTTTCAGTTTAAAAGATTACCAAGCAGTAAAAATAAGAGGCACATGCACGTCTGCTCGAACATCTGGGTCTCTTCAGATGCAGGATCAAATATCAACTTCTTTCATTTCTTTATATTAAGAAAGAAAAACACACGAACACGTGTACCTTAAATATGATCTTTACTTAGTCTAAGGTTTAATCGTATCAAATACAGACAGGTAATTTGTCTGCGAGCTGAATACCGACACTAAATTTGCTAGTTTGTTTTTCTGATATGGAATAATATTAGCTACAATAAATTGAAAACAAACAAACAAACAAAAAAAAAAACGATAAAAGATAAAGAAAGAAAGAAAAAAGCAACGAGTGCAAATTCAGCTGTTTTGTTTTTATTTTAGATCTAAAATACCTTGGAGTCACATTGTTTTATTTCATTCTGAACAGATGTACTGTAGAATGGTTCATCTCTGACTTGACATCAACAGTGGATGACTGTGTACAAAATCTACTATCTGGTGAAGATACATGGCGAGTTAGAATTTTATCATAACAAATACAACTGTGGATTTGGGACTTGATAATATACTGCTTCTTATCATTATTCTTCGAGCATTTTAACGGTAATGTATGAAGACATAGATACAATATATGGCGTCGTCATACATGTACAACAGGGTAATTGCTAAACAGGACAATTGTGTATTAAATAGCCATCTTGCGACAGTGTTAAAGCATCTTAAAAGCAGCAGCATATGGATATAAATATCGCGATTTGGTCTAAAATGAAGCGGGGTTTAGAGGAGAGCGTTATCAGAAATAATGGCAAACTTACACGTGCAAAATGAAAACAAAAATAAATGACATTAGACAGTTTGAATAAAACAATATCCAGAAACAGTGGTCGTTTATCTGTATTTAAATCTATTGTTTTTTAATCGGTGAAATATGTTGTTGTACAAGAAACTGTCAACGTTTGCTTCTTCACTTAGTTTTCCATTCTGTAAAGAAGAATTTCATTTGCACGAATTAATTGTGAGAGGTATTGAATTAAGTATGAAAGGAATTGAATTTCCCAGCATTACAGACTACATTTGTCTAAGAATGTTTTGATCTACATCCATTGATTGATAAATTTTGATTCACACACTGCACCCGTGTTAAACATGCATTGCTTTAAGGAGCAAAGTATTCGAGAAAGAGAGAGTGAGAGAGAGAGAAGGGGGGATGGATCAGGTGAAACATAGCTTCTCTTTTGGTTGTAACTGTATATCTCTTTTAACTTCTAGCTGCTATTCCAAAGTGTGCAGGCTGCAGCGACCCGATTCTGGATCGATTTATTCTCAAGGTACTGGAGCGATCTTGGCACGCCAAATGTCTAAAATGTGCAGACTGTAAAACGCAGCTGAACGACAAATGTTTCTCGAAAGGAGACAAAGTTTACTGCAAAGATGACTTTTTCAGGTAAGCACTAAGTATTGTATTTCTAAAGCGCAGGTGCTGTTTACAGACGAAAGTGTTGCGTGCGTCGCAGCAACAAGTGACATTAAGCAATCATGCTTCAGTGACATCGCAATCAAGAGGTCTACAATATAGACGGTTCCCTTTATTATTTATTATTTTCATGGAAGTTGTGAATTATTCGTGTAAAACATCAAAAACATGCGATGTTAGGGATGTACAAGTGTAATTATTTAACCTGCAAAATACAGTAACGAAAAACAATTTAACACCCATTAATTAATAGCATTGGACGCAAAACAGTAATTCAACAAAGATTAGTTGTCACAGTGACAGTGATGAATTATTATGAAATAGTGAAAATGCTCCACGTTATGGGCACATGCATAGAATTGCTAATATTCTGATAAACAGGACCACAGGATAAAAATGAATCGAGAATAAACGCGAAGTGGCGTTAACCATTTTACACTTCTGATATTCCCGGCGTCAAAAGCCAGCGTTTTTTCCTCGTTTTTTCACAATTTTATCTCTTACCATAAAATAAAACTCAAGAACATGAATATACTAGATAATCGACTGCAGTTATAGCTTTTGGAAAAATTTTCTCAATTAACACGCTTGGAATGTTTCATTTTGAAGAAAGGCTATATTGACATTTATACGTGTAGTATGAGTTAAAAAATACTACTGCCCTCTGACAAGAATTTATGGCAAATTCTACAAGTTACTGTGCAGTCAAAATCACCAAATTGAATAAGAACCGTTATTTTGATTAAGCATTCCGTCTGGGCCCGCCATTTGGGTGCAGAAACACGCAGATAATAAGTCATTCACATATTTGTACACATTTAAGTCTAGACAATTCATCTGGCACGTATTCCTTCAAGGAGATATTTTATTCATTTATGACGCGTATTCTCGACTTATTACGGTTATAGAGATATTTGTATTTCCTAACAGAGAATACGTTAAAGAGGTCAAAACATACAGAAAGCACAATTTCTACAACTGTGTAACTCAATCCAAAGGTACTGCAAACAATAAATTAAGCCACAGTAATGACGATGCCGTTTTTTGTTTTTTAATGTAAGGGCTGCTTACCAAGGTTCCCAATCTTGCAGACAGAAACAGAATCAAAAATAAACCAGAAGTTAACAACATTTTGTCAAACTTTTTGTCATATTCACTTATTAAATTATACGAATAGTACTGATTTGACTTGGATATATTTCTTTTATATCTATTTATAAAATTCTTCTGAGCGTGTAGCCCTGGTTTCATACAAAATATTGCTAAAACATGAAATTAATATAAATTTGGTCAAACAGAGAAATTATATTGCGATGTACTCTTGGCGTAAGAAATACACTATTGAATGAAAACTGCAAATTGTTTATCAAAATTGTTATTTTATCCTTTAGGAGATTCGGTACAAAATGTGCAGCCTGCGACAAAGGAATCCCTCCAACCCAAGTCGTCCGCCGTGCTCAAGACTACGTCTATCATCTCGAGTGTTTCTCTTGTCTCATATGTAACCAACAATTGAACACGGGAGACGAGTTCTATCTGTTGGACGATAGGAAATTAGTTTGCAAAGCGGATTACGAAACCGCAAAGTCCAGGGGTGAGTATTTCATCTGATCTTGTCTAGTTGTCGACAGGTGAACTGCGTTCAGACCAGTAGTGTTTTAGCCCAGGAATCGGCCTAAATCGCGCCATTAGCAACCCACCTATACTCCGAGGTATTTCAGACCTGTGTACTGAAGCTGAGGTAAACATGGTGTGAACGTGGCACTGACTGTTTAACATGTCGAAATGCACGACTTCTCCCACGGCGCAAAAAGCCACTGACGCGAGGTTACATATTGCATAACTGTTTTTCTTCGTTGAAGTCTATAGATTAGGTAACTAACTCGAAAGGGTGTTTCTCAGAAAATAACTCTGGAATCCAGATTACTGGAGGAAAAGCTGAAAAGCAATTGTTATTAGTAAGTGGCTTATACCAGCAGTAAGTTCAAAAATGGTATGCATATATACATGTATATAATGTTCACACACGCATTTTAATAATATGGATCCCTACAATATAGTTCGTTACATTGTTATTCCCAAGCCCGCTTTCTGAAGAATACAGTCAATTCAACATGAAAATACACTAGGGTTACATAAATATTTTAGCTAATGGATTTGTGTCTTTCTTTGTAATCTATCCTGTAATTCCAAAGGCAGAAACGTAGCTGCTGCATCATTGTGGGATCGAATTTCAGGACGAATAATTAGACTAATACGCATATTATGTTACCGTTGATACAAATAACACATTTAGAAAGAATCAGACAACCTTCATCCACGAATGATTGTACGCAGTTGATAATGTTTGCGTTCATTATCACGATGTATCGGTGAAATAAAAGATGGCCCCTGAGTGTGTCTGAGTATGCCAAGATGGCATTTGGGTTGTACATGTATCAAACAAAAGCGTTTCAGGTAACTGCTTCACGATACGCTCCTTTTTAAAGTACACACGGTGTTTCTGTCTGTGTTGCAGCAAAAGTTAACCTCAACTGCACGGTCAAATGCACCTCAAAGACTAAGAGTATCAATGTGTTATTTGTCGAGTATTGAGTAAACGGAACATTTCATTCTGTGCCCTTTCACAGGCATGCGAATTGCGTAAAAAGCCACATTTTTTGAGTGCACTTATTCTTGCGTTTGGTGTTTTTATGAAGTGTAGAGGAAAAGAAGAAAAAATACACTTTTATTTCAAAAATTGGAACAGTGGACTGCTGAGAATGTAATTCAATACATATTTGTATTTTGCATTCACTTTTGGTGGCCAATTTCCACTTCAGAAATATAGAAAAAATAAAAAAATGTAATATTCCCGGTAGAGCACATCTGAAACCTTGAAATACTGCCAAATGTTTCAGATAAAATATTAAGGAAAATGTATTTGTATGATCCTATTAAGAACAAATAAGTAAAAAATATAAAAATCCGTGAGCAACAATGGTTTTCCATCTATGTGCATGGTCTCCAGAATGCATCATACATGTACATGTACAACCGGTTTATTAAGTCATCATATAGAATAGTGCTCACAGTATTATTTACATTATCATTTATATTCAAAACACCGAAGTTCACATTAGATTTTGCTCTTTATTTTACAGAATTTGAAATCGATAGCAGTAATAAACGTCCACGAACCACTATAACAGCAAAACAGTTGGAAGCCTTAAAACGCGCCTACAATGAAAGTCCAAAGCCAGCACGGCACGTCAGAGAACAGCTCAGCGCAGAAACTGGACTGGACATGCGAGTTGTCCAAGTATGGTTCCAGAATAGGCGCGCCAAGGAAAAACGCCTGAAGAAAGATGCCGGCCGCCATCGGTGGAATCCGTATTTCAGGCAGATGAAACAAAGACACCACGCGGGAGAATCGGACGGTGCACTCAGCGCAGACGACACTCTATCTGATGGTGCCGTGGACATTTCTTATCAAAGTAAGTCTTCATATCATTCTTTTTATTGTGTTCTTTTTTGCCAGTTTCATCCGTTTGTCTGTATGATATACTGTAAATGTAACCTTTTTCATTATTAAAAAGGAAATAAGTTTAATTAAACGGCTGTTATTATATTTTGATCTAATTTCTTTTCAAAATTGTTGCTAATTACACAAATGCAGCAAGCGTATTCAATATTGCATGATAGGTGGACCTCAATGAATTAATAACAGTGTGGGCTCCACTATGTCAATATACCTCAAAGCCACTGTACATTAACATTTAAATGTATTATAAATAGAACCACAGACATATATGAAACGCCGCATTGATCATCTTAATCAAAAATAGAACTGTTACAAAGTCATTGATTATAGACCTGCAAACCAAAACCTGATGGTGTAGGGCCTTTAAACTGATATAGACACTATCTATTTAATTCACGTACCAAAATGCCTGTACATGCATTGAGATCTAAGTTGGTTTGAAATAGGAAATGAATAATAACTCATGCAGATCGCGATTTGAATTAAATGCGAGTGATTAAGTTGATCTGCCAAGTCATTCAGGTCACAAGTAAACCTCCGTGGGATATTCATGATTGGACTGTAAGAGTTCACTTATAGAAATTAAGCGATCAAAACATCTTATGCTTGTCACGGTATTCATGCATGTTGTGTTGGGGGGAAATGAATCTGTACCAGTTTAAGTGCAGGAATTTACAAAATAATAATACTAATAATATTACTAATAATAATGATAATAATAATAATAAAACAAGCAATGACAATATGTTTTTAATATTTTTTCCAGATGACATTGACTCAATGGACACTAATCCTAATCTAGGCCGTTCAGGCGACCTTTTCGGTATGGGGCAGGCTTTAGACCATGAACCCCCCATGGGTCAGGTCCCTGTGGTGCCACCTGGGACGCCACCTGGTGACACTTGGTTGCACTACGGCGGCCCTCCCGCTAACACTGCTTACATGGGCAGACACTCACCATCAGTAGGGCAGCAGATCATGCAAGAATCTTTGGGCTTGGTTGGGGCGCCTCCTGGCTTGGGCCGGGTGCTGCCACCAGACGTCAGTGACAGTGAGCAAAGTTTTGGTGACTATCCACCACGTTCTACACCAAACCACGTTGAGGTGTACTGAAAACTTGAACAGTCAAATGTACTTCAATATGAAAAAAAAAGCTATTTACAATGGGACTGGCTCCCTGTGTTCAGGAACAGCTGACCCCGGCTGCAGAGTTGAAAGCCGAACTGAAGGAGCATTGGTAAAAGGTACCAATGCAGTTAAAAGAGCAGATGTTCCCGATGTTTCTGGCGTGAGAATAGCTCACTTCATGACGCCTGTTGCTCCAAATGCTAGCTGCAAAACCGTCTTCTGAGACAGAAGTGAAGATAAAAATTGAAGGGAGCAAAGCCCTTGGTGTTTGTCACTTTTTGTATTATTTCGTATTTGTTGGCGCCAAGCAGAAGTGGAAAAAGTGCACAAACATAAATTGCGCATACGAAGGGCAGATAAAGCATCCCAATTAACGGCAATCACCTGGAAGCGCATATTGGTGCATATATGCTGCTGATATTGAAGGGATGCAACGGCAAAGCGTCGGCGGAAAGTGTCAAGATGCATGCGTGAGTCACTGTATTTCTTTCTTACCACTGAACAATGACAACTTACTAAAACAACCATGACACGTCCCTGCCGGTATGCCCTGTCCACGAGTAATGTAAAGTGAAGTTCAAAAACGTCTCAACAAGACGTGCCAGCGTTTATTTTTATGACATAAAGGGTGCGGTCGCGATCTCCTAACAGGGAACAGAAGTCACCTGACCATTGGGCAGTGTGACTGTGACATTGGACAGTGTGACTGTGACCCGCACACATCCGAGCCACAACCTAGCAGTGCCTAGTGTAAACTGCGAGCATTTTCCTTGCATAAGTACTGTTTGTATCTTTTAAAAGAACTTGTAATGGTGTACATACTTATCTCAATATTTGCTAGATTCTCTTGGTTTACAGATTAACGTCAAGTTAAGGAAGATGTGGGGTGAAATATCTCTCTGTTACAGTTCAGAGCTGATGATTACCCCTGCTATAGTTACCGCTCTCAGAAGCTAGCGAAATAAATGGTTGGATCTTACGAGTTCTATTACAAGTCGCACCCACTTTTTTATTAAGGAAAAGAAACGTAGTGTATTTCTCTTCTTGTACAACATAAAGCACGGTAAGCATTCGATTTTTATCTGTACAAACCCGGGACAAAAACTTACATGATGTACAAATGTAATACGATAGGGCCTCATGTTTTGAATTATTGTTTTGATTATTTTTTCTTTTTTATCTCTCAAAATATTTGGCAACGTTGACAAAGCGACCACATTGGTTCTTGCGGCAGTGCATGATGTAATCAGAAAAGCGCACAGGAATTCTTTTGGGAACCAGATTTCTTATGAAATCCTGTAATGTGCATTGGGACTGTTGCTTATGGCTACGTGTGTTTCTGACAGTGTTAGTTTTTATGAAAGTTGAGAGAAGGATTTTATATCCAGTTGAGAGAAGGGTTCCGTGTTGTCTGATATATATTCTTGACATTAAACCAAAATTTTTTTCAAAAAGTTGGGCTAGCGCTAAAGCATTTATTGTCTGGCCATACAATGTTATCTATTGCAAAAACAACTATTTACTTTCAAAAGAAGCTTTGGTAAATGGAATATAAAGCATAAAGGCTCATTGATACTGTAAAAAACAATTAAAATTTGCATCTGGCATTGTAGAAAATTCAGGTCTTGAAATTATTAGTATATTTTAAGAATTGGTAATGGAAGACATAAATGCCTTATGTCAAGTACCAAAAACAGATAAATGTATGTCATTTTATATTTACAAGGAAGCAAAATTTAGGTTATAGCTGCTTATTATATGCATATATATCTTTTTGACCTGTCGTCAGCGGGTTAAGATGGTCAATATAAATGTTATTTATTCAATTAGTTTTTCTCTGTGTATTTTGTTATGTTCTGTTGTTGTGCAATACTAAGAAAATTAAAAATTAAATTATTTATGAACAACTTCACGTTGTACTTATTGTCTTTATATTTGAGATTAAAGTAATTGAGAGCCGTTCTTTTTTGCTTCAAAATCACAATTTTGTTAAATCAAATATATTATACCTTCTCTATTTTATTAAAACGATTTCTTTTTAATCGTACAATCTGTTTTTTTTAACGGCAAATGACGCCACAGATGTTAAATACCTTTAATTTTCCAAATGGCAATTATCCTTTTCTTGATTCCTGATACAAAATATTAAATTCCACGTAAAAGACCTCTACATATTTTCATAATACTAGTTTAGGAAAGGCAACTTATAATGTTTATCCTGTGGGTTTTAAAGTAAAAAACGTTATTTTTTCAAAAACTGCACGACTGCCTTAACTGGTCAATTTATGTTTACTTTAATACACCAGTGATACCTTCCTGTTTTAAATGTGTATAGCAATACGCTGTATTGTACCTGTGCCTTCCCTGCCAACTTGTGTTTCTAAATTTGGAGGAAACCTCTCAAAACATTTTGAAATTCGATTATCAACACGACTCAAGTACCGCAGGGGATCACACGAGGTGAGATAAGCAGTAATCGTGATGTTATATACTTGGGCAGCACGACATAACAAGACTTTCCTGCCTTTCGCCACCAGCAAACACAAGACATGGCGTTATGGGAGAAGGAGACTCGTGAAAATTTCAAAGCGTTCGACAGGATTTTGTCTTATGTTCCAGAATATATGTATGGCGCTATCCGCGATGCACGATTCCAATACCTACCTAATAGCCATCCGCTCTCTTAATCAATACGTAATATTTTAACTACCATTGGTTTTGTCCTCAATACGACTTAAGTTTACGTCAGAATAGAGAGCTCTGTGGACAGTTACATTATATGTTGTGAAACAGAACCCAGAAACAAGGAGGCAGAGGAGAGGTTTACATGAAGCTGTAAAAAATACAAGAGCCTCACGCAAATATCTTAATGCATCAATTTATCTGTAGATCACGACAGTTACCGGTGTCTATGGAATACAATATTAACCTTTTGTTAATTACGCGTGGTTCGCCGTCTTGCAAATGTTTTCTGTGAGGAGCTGCTTCAGATGTCAATGGGAGCCACCAGGAGGACATTTATCAAAATTACACGAACTAATGGACATCAATTTGCATGAAAATATATCTCCACTGCCAGCGCAGCCATAAAAAGAAACGTCAATGATTTATCAGGTTGCCGAAAGTACTGATAAAAAACAACGTTTTACTACGACGGTTCCCTTGGGTGGTAAAATGAAATCAATGCTTGAATATATTTATAAGTGGCAAACGTTTTTCAAAGGCAAACAAACTGAAGTGGAATTTTCGCCTTAGAGGTGGGAAGTTTCCAATGGCCAATGCCTGTTTCAGTATAAAAAGTGTATCTTTAAATGTTTCTTACCTAAAACCGAAGTAATATACCATTATCGTATAACTGCAGCAATAACCAAAAAAGGGTTCAGGCAATTAAGTTCTGAAAGAGTCTTTGGAACAGCAATAAGCCACCCCGCCAAATTCTACTCTTTTTACACAAAATTTATAAATATTTAATAATCTATACGAGCCCCGTTAAATTACCCAAAAAGAATAATTCTAAAAGCATATTTGGTTCATACAAACTCATCACATTAAAGCTTTTGTGAGAGGATTGCGCACGAAGAACACGTAATCAGCAGGTTTTACGTAACTTTTATTCCCTTGAGTATGACTTGGGCTTGTGATTGACAAGATATTATGTGTCAAGTGGGGTGCCATTATTCTATAAGGATAAAACAAGACTCGAGTCTATAGTCAAAGTATCTCGTAATTATCAAGACTGCAGTTGCCGCTAGAATGTGGTAAACCAGGTACCGTAATTTTTGGCCATGACTGTTGTTTTTTACATCAATACATAAATTTACGTGGTTTATAAAACACTCCAAAGTAACACAATCTTAGTCGATTTGAACGATAAACTCATTCTGACCAAAGGACAAACATTGAAATTCAGCAACATGTAAAAGTGAGATTTATTACATTGTGCGGCTTGATGTGTCTCCGTCTATATTTTAATCTAAAACGGGGTCTTAAAGGTTATTAAATGAACCCAAAGAAATCTATCATTCATCTGACAACTAATGATGTCAAGTCTCTTATTCTGCCATAAACAGGTCATCTGTATACACAATCCTGGCTCCAATTTATTATGCTATTACCAGAACTATGGGCAGTGGGCCCGCGGTGATTATTATTCAGCGTCAGGGCAATATGAGCGAAAAACACGTTCTACCGAGGACATTTATAACGGGAGTAACACGCTGCAGACCCGCCTAAATCGATTGAAATTTGATCAAATGCAGAACAGCTGTGAATGGAAGTCAACCCTGATCAATTGGTACACACGCATTAGGCACTGGCGAATCTAAAAGTTTACTTAAGCGGGGAAGGGGGTACTAGAGATCATAGGGGAAGAATATTTCATGTAAAAAAGTGAGTGAAACCAAAGGGGCCAACTGTCCTTGTATCCCATCTCATTTTAAACCACCTCTGGTTGCATATTAACGTACCTTGAGGTATATATACATAATTAACTGCCTTTACAGGGTAAAACACAAGCAGCTAGGAAGCGTCTGTTGGAAATATATAATTTAACGTACATGTACTCGCACACAAGCCATAGAGAGTAATCACCAAGAGTTATATCAATCACGTTTTTGATTAGAAATAAGCATTAGTGGCTGAACATGGACGTTTTGGACAAGAATGGGACAAAAAGGATAAATAGGGGTAGACATTTCCGTGCAAAATTCAACTGGAATAGTTATCTATAAGTTTTGATAAGTGCATTTAAAGGTACTATAATATGCAGATGTGTCTATGTCACAATAAGACCGGTTATTCTCCTCGTGTGGTCTTATATATAAGTCCGTCACCTGTAACTTTCAGTGCTGTCCGTCTTATAGGAGCTCCATGGCACATGTCCGTATGTCCAAATCCCTCAATATAAAAAGATGAGATGCAGACTTACATAGCAGATCTTAATGCACCCTAGCTGTGCTTAATGGTAATAATAAGAAGGCAAACTTAAACTGTGTCCCAATTGCTCAAAGTTTAACAAATCCCTGTGCTTGCTAGAACAGATAAAAACAAACATAGGAGATGAAGTGCAAATTGACTTTTAGCAAAGTGAC